GACCTTCCTCTGGATCCACAGTTAATGACCTTGGAATCGATCAAATGTTAAATCGGTCAAGAGTTATCATTACTAACTCATGGCTAAAGATTTCTACAGATTTTGAGAACAGCTCTCCCCAAACCTTTGGACCTTGGTCTTTTGAACCTTTCTTTCAGGAATCAACCTCAACAGGAAACAGAGTGGAGACTTTGCACAAAAGCAATGAGTTGAATGTCAACCGAGAGACAGATGTCCTGATTGTCAAAGGAGATTTGTTCAGGGTGTAACGGTAAGACAAGGAACTCTAATACAGTAAAAACAAGGACACATTTGTGCTTGAGAATTTGTACATGAAGGGCCTTTTTCTGTGCTATGGACTTGTATGACTGTGTGAGAATTTGACATCTAGTTTTTAAAAATTTAATTTCTATTGTCCATCCATAAATTGTCCTGGACAAGACTGTGGTGAGCCTTCATATTAAACTGCTGCAGACCATGTGGTGTAACCACATGCACAAGGCAGTTAGGGAGGGCGTTCCAGGATTTTGACCCAGCATCACTGAATGAACATCAATCCAGTTCCAAGGTAGAACGGCGCGTGAGCTGGACAGTTACTTGCAGATGGCACTCAGAGTCCAACTGATACCGGAAAAGATCTACGTTAAGTTGTAAATGATTACCATATCCTTTCATTCCATTCCTGAGCAAGTCTATTACTTAATTAGCATCTTGCAAACAGCGGTGAGACAGTTTTACATTCAGATGTCTCACATTCAGAAAACAATCATCTCTCCAAATAGAGCCATAAATTCAAAGAGAAATGTATATAAATTATAGCAGAGAAACAAGCTGATTGCCAATAACCCAAATCAGTAGAACCATATGGGAGAGAAATTGTTAAAGGAGTAACTGAATTCTGAGTGGGAAGTTCCCTTGCTCCAGTGTGTCACACTACATTCTGCTAGGAGACAGGCTGACAACTTAATCTGAAATCTCAGCCTTTGTAATATCATCGCTGCACCAAATTCCACAACTCTCCTTTTAAGAGCAATGTGGAAGGACCTTCACTCGCACAGACTGCAGTGGATCAAGCAAGTAGCAGCTCATCAGCAGGCTAAGCATTCTGCTCTGTATCCCACATGGATGCAGAGGGAGGGACTGAGAAAGACAGTAGAATGGAAACAAATCCGTATTCCTTCACCACCAGAAGCCCTAGCAGTATTGACCATAATGTGGAATATTTACAGTGTACACTTATTGGTGAGACAGAAAGATATAGATGTATGCCAGTTAATAATATTCTTCTTCGTAAATGTATTTTTTTAAAAATAGCTTTAAAAACCCAGTGTCCACTTGATAGTCTAGTGCTACAGAATGCTCTGGGGTTAGATTCTATATCTTTCTCCCCAAAATGCATTTATGTAACACAGTAAAAATATCTTAGACTCTTCACAGGAATGTTATCAAACAGAATTTCACATGGGGAGATATGAGGAGAGGTGAATGAAGTATCTTCCTTGACCAAGTTAAATAGCATCTTAAAAAGCAGAGAGAAAGAGGGATACAGAAGGTTGTGCATTTCCACTGCTAAATGTCTAGGCAGCTGAAGGTGCCGCAACCAATAGAAGGGCAGCGGAATCCTGGAATGATCCAAAAGCAAGGGTTAAGTACAGAAGTTAAGTACAGATATGGCCCCTATATCTCAGGAAGGATGTACTGACCCTGGAGCAGGTTCAGAGGAGGTTCATGAGAATGGTCCCAGGAATGGAAAGCTTAACATACAAGGAACACTTGAGGACTCAGGGACTATACTGATTGGAGTTTAGAAGGATGGGGATCTAATTGAAACTTACAGAATACTGAATGGCCTGGACAAAGTGGATGTTGGGAAGATGCTTCCATTGGTAGGAGAGACTAGGACCCGAGGGCACAGCCTTAGAGTAAAGGGAAGACCTTTCAGAACGAAGATAAGGAGAAACTTCTTCAGCCAGAGAGTGGTGAATCTATGGAATTCACTGCCACAGAAGGCTGTGGAGGCCAGGACATTGAGTATATTTAAGACTGAGATAGATAGGTTCTTGATTATCAAGGGGATCAGGGGTTATTGGGAGAAAACAGGAGAATGGGGTTGAGGCTTCGCCTCCGCCGCATCTGCTCCCAGGATGAGGCATTCCACTCCCGTACATCTCAGTTGTCCTCGTTTTTCAAGGACCGTAACTTCCCCCCCTCGGTGGTCGAGAATGCCCTCAACCGTGTCTCCCACATCTCCCGCACCTCATCCCTCACACCCCGCCCACGCAATAAGAACCAAAAAAGAATCCCCCTCGTCCTCACGTACCACCCCACCAACCTCCGGATCCAACGCATCATCCTCCGACACTTCCGCCATCTGCAATCCGACCCCACCACCAAAGACATCTTTCCCTCCCCACCCTTATCTGCTTTCCAGAGGGACAACTCTCTCCATGACTCGCTTGTCCGCTCCACACTCCCCTCCAGCTCCACCACACCCGGCACTTTTCCCTGCAACCGCAGGAAGTGCTACACCTGCCCCCATACCTCCTCCCTCACCCCCATCCCAGGCCCCAAGAAGACTTTCCACATCAAGCAGATGTTCACCTGCACATCTGCCAATGTGGTATACTGCATCTGCTGTACCCGGTGTGGCTTCCTCTACATCGGGGAAACCAAGCGGAGGCTCGGGGACTGCTTTGCAGAACACCTACGCTCGGTTCACAATAAACAACTGCACCTCCCAGTCGCGAACCATTTCAACTGCCCCTCCCATTCCTCAGATGACATGTCCATCCAGGGCCTCCTGCAGTGCCACAACGATGCCACCCGAAGGTTGCAGGAACAGCAACTCATATTCCGCTTGGGAACCCTGCAGCCCAATGGTATCAATGTGGATTTCACAAGTTTCAAAATCTCCCCTCCCCCTACCGCATCCCAAAACCAGTCCAGCTCGTCCCTGCCTCCCTAACCTGTTCTTCCTCCCACCTATCCCCTCCTCCCACCTCAAGCCGCACCTCCATCTCCTACTGACCAACCTCATCCCGCCCCCTTGACCTGTCCGTCCTCCCTGGACTGACCTATCCCCTTCCTAACTCCCCACCTACACTCACCTTTACTGGCCCCATCCCCGCCTCTTCGACCTGTTTGTTTCCTCTCCACCTATCCTCTCCTCTATCCATCTTCTATCCGCCTCCCACTCTCTCCCTATTTATTTCGGAACCCCCTTCCCCTCCCCCTTTTCTGATGAAGGGTCTAGGCCCGAAACGTCAGCCTCTCTGCTCCTATGGTGCTGCTTGGCCTGCTGTGTTCATCCAGCCCTGCACCTTGTTGTCTTGAATGGGGTTGAGGAACTTGATTGAATAGTGGAGCAGACTTGATGGGCCGAATGGCCTATTTTCTGCTCCTCTGTCTTATGGTCTTATGTCGGGTATCAACAAACAACATTTTTTCCAAGCAAATACTGTTTCTTTTTAAAGAACTAGGGGTTAACTTGCTCTGTGGTGACAATATTTTATTGATCCATTATTATCAGTTCTCATCTCTGACCTTCCTGTGACACTGAACCTGCTGTACAGGCAAACAGTGCATTTTGCTTTATCTTTTTCATCTCAGTACAGCTTTATAACGAACCCTCTCATGCTGTACGCTTGTTCAGATTTTTACAAGCACTGTCTCCAGAGTGTGATCCCTCTCCATAAACAGTTTTTTATGTTCTAGCACTGGAGGGCTTGTCAAAGGACATAGGAGGAACGGTTGAAGACTCTGGGTCTGTGCCCGAAGTTTAGAAAAATGAGGGTGGGCGGTCTGATTGAAACTTAGAGAATACTGAGACACCTGGATACAGTGGACATGGAGAAGATGTTTCCACTAATAGGAGAAACTAAGACCTGAGGGCTTAGTGTGAAGAGTGCCTCAGAGCGAAGAGACAATCTTTAGAACTGAGATGAAGAGGAATTTCTTCAGCAAGAGGTGCTTAATCTGTAGAACTCATTGCTGCAGAAGGCTGTGGAGGCCATGTCACGGAGTGTATTTAAGACAGGGACAGACAGATTCTTGATTAGTAAGGGGATTAAAGGTTATGGGGAAAAGGCAGGAGAATGGGATTGAGAAATATATCAACCATGGTCAAATGACAGAGCAGACTCGCTGGGCTGAATGGCCTAATTCAGCTCCTATCTCTTATAGTTTGATTTGTCAATACAGATGATATCTGACTTCCTAGATGTCAATTTTGGGCACTGTAGTCTTGGAAAGGACAACTGACCAAAACCTAAACCACCAGTTACATGGAATGGTAGGGTGATAGTGTTTTTGCGGGGGGTGGTTTAAAAAAAAGGCAATTTCTGCTACTCAGTTCTGTGCCAAAATTACAAATGCATTAAAATTTTTCTACAAACTGCACACAAGAGGAAGTGCTGTCTCTCACATGATGAGAGCACAGGGCAGGGGGTGATGGTAGTGATGGCCTAGTGGTATTATCACTGGATTGTTAATCCAGAGACCAGGATAATGTTCTGGGGACCTGGGTTCAAATCTCACCACAGCAGATGGTGGAATTTGAATTCAAAAAATATCCAGAATTGAGAATCTAATGATGGCCATGAATCGATTGTCAGGAAAAACCCAGTTGGTTCACTAATGCCCTTTAGGGAGGGAAACTGTCATCCTCATCTGGTCTGGCCTATATATGACACCAGACCCACCACAATGTGGTTGACTCTTAACTGCCCTCTGGGCAAGTAGGGATGGGCAATAAATGCTGCCTAGACAGCAACACCCTCATCCCATGAATGAATAGAGGGAAAAAGAAAATTGCTGAAACAAGAGGCAGGAGATGTATTTCCAAACATCTCTTTCAATCATTACCTGATCTGATGTTTAAAGATTGCAAGAAGCTGGGTGATGCCTCTTTTCACCCCACACTACATTCAATCCATTCCCCTGCTCCCGCTTCCAGCCATCCTCCCAATCCCATTTCATAGGCTATTTAACTACACAGAATGCAATATTTTGACAATATTTATTTAAACGTTGTTAATTTGAACATACTATAAAGAAAGAAACATTGCAGCGAATCCTCAAGTCACAGAACCAGAACAAGGTGACACTGGAATTCTCCCAAGGTCAAATTATTCATCGTTCCTTGTTCTAATTTATGCAGTTGCAAACAGAAGCATTCTGTCAAAAGCAGGATTTTAGAATGGGGAGTGTACTTAATGCACGCACACTTGTGTAGTTGTCTCCTTCTTATGCAGAAGTGATGACCTGCTCCAAACAATTTTAAATTTTGCGAAACTCCTGTAGCTTCCAGACACTGTGGTGCATGTTTGATCTTTCATTGTCAATGGAGGGTATGAAAGATTTAACTTCAATTGATGCATTTATAGTTTTCCTATACCAATATCCCTTTTCCTCTTCTTCCCATACTGTGCCATATAACATTCAGTCCACATCCAGCAATTTAACTCGTGCAATAAACATTTCAGTTCAAACGCTGCAAGACCCTACTACCCGACTATTTCATGTAGCATTCGGCTCCCATTTTGCATTAAAGTTGCGCAATAAGTTTTCAGTCTCTGCATGGTATGTGGTTCCACCTTTCCTAATCATTTTGATTCTTTCAATGGGATGTGAGCATCCCTGCCAAAACCAGCATTTGTTACCCATCCCTAACTACTGTGAAGTAGGAGGTAGTGATGAGCCACCTTCTTAGATCACTGCAGTGCACATGCTGTAGATTTGGAGTTCCAATTTTTTTGTCACCCTCTGTCTAGGTGCAGGGAACCTGGTCAGTCATGGCCTCACAAATACATATCACTTTCTTCAGTAAAGCCTGGTTCATCCTTTAGTGTCTTCACCCTTCAAACACTCAGCATTCTACCTACCATCATCTTCAACCTCGTGCCCAAACTACCCCTGTGGAATATATTGCTCAGGCTGGACATCAAATGCCTTTGTTCAACTGTGCTAACCGAAAATCCATGCAGCCCAAGACAATTTTTATAAATCCATAAATGGTGATACAGGAAAGGATTAGGTGCTAAATACAAAATAAGAAGTTGGACACCAAAGGCTGAGGCCTGGCCAACACTCAAACAACTCCAAAGTCTGATTCAAGCTTGGTTGCAATGTCCAGGATTCTCCAATGATACCGATGGGAATAGGATTTTTTTGAGGATATCCTCAAAAGGGCATCCTGTAAGAAGGTAGTCAAGCTGGTATCCTGAGCAAAGGTATCCTGCCTCGTCCCAAGTCTGATCAGAGAAACCCAAGCATTCGGAATGGCTTCCTGAGTAGTTTGCAAAGTCAAGTTCTCTCAAAACTCCTCCTATTAGCAGTGAGCTCTTCATTCAGACAAGAGATGGACATAGTCCACTGGGAAGGCTCCCGATCTTGATTTGTCTCCTTCTACATGTCCAACCTGCAAAAGAAACCAATTTGAGCAATTAAGATTAATACATAACTAGCAATTTATTACTGCTTTAAAATGGTTGAAGCAAATCACTACCACACTGCCTTCCTCTGTTGACCCCTGACTACAAAGGCTCTGATGACTGATATGAACTAAACTATGCCTATAGTTCACCACTGAGTTAAAGCAGCCTAACATGTGAGTGGCTAGATTCCTAGTCAACGTGGAAGTAACCGTCCTTAAACAGGATGATTGTAGTGGGTGCGAAAACTGGCATCAGGAAACGTGAACTAGTGAGACAAAAGAGAAGCATGAACTGATGAAGTTCCTACTCAAATCTTTGTTGTGGAGGTTGTGAATAGGCTGGGGCTACTGCATGAGGTGTTTTGCAGTCAAATAGCCAACTGACACATTCCAATGAGATTTGCACATGAAGAATGTCCAGTGGCCACAGCACCACCTGTGGAATTGCTCCCCCCCACCCCCAGAAAGTGTCTGGATCCAAGCAATAACCACCCATGTTTCAGATGAACCATGAAATCAAGGCTCTGAACACCTTCCTGGGTGGATAGAAAAGATCCCATGGCACTGTTTTGAAAAATAAAAGAGACCAGGGTCTTCTCCATGGTGACCTGGCCAATAATTATCCCTCATCAAAAACAATTTTAAAAGAATTCCAAACGTTTATCTCATTGCTGCTGCTCGAGTTTTCTGAGTGCAACGTGGGTGCCACATTTCCTAGATTACATTAAGACAATTTTCCACAAAGTTCTCAGTTGTCTGTAAAGCACTTATGACATAATAATTGTCAAATATGCTATATAAATACAACAGATAATAAGAACTGCTGATGCTGGAGTCCATTCCTGAAGAAGGGTCCCGACCCAAAACGTCAGCTTTCCTGCTCCTCTGATGCTGCCTGGCCTGCTGCGTTCCTCCAGCTCCACACTGTGTTATCTCTATACATAATTGCAAGGTTTTCTTTACTTCCTATTTCCTTTGATAATTCACCTCTAACACAGGCCTTTGGCTCCCATATTTTCCTTGCTCCACCATTGACAACTGTGTCTTCAGCTGTCAAACAAACATTCTCCCTAAACCCCTCACAATTTTAAGAAGGAAGCGAGTGGGGCAATCAATCAGAAATCCTTCTTTTGGCCACCTGTCTTACCTTCTGCACCTATATACAATTGGTCAGGTGCAGTTGACTGCAATTAACTGAATCCTTTCTGTGTCAGATGTATATTACGCATGTCCTCATGTGGCTCTGTGTCAAATCTTATTTGATAACACTCCTGTGAAATGCACAATACAAATGCAAGTTGTTGTTGTGAGATATGCAATGTGTAACTTGAAGCTATTCTCTCAACATGAAGGCATTTGCTCACTGATCTCATGTCTGCCTCAACTGCATGTGACGGCTACAAAGTTTACTGAGTGGCACAAGGAGTTCTTGCAAAGGCAGATACTCACCCACCAAAACGAATCTTCTTCTCCAGTCACAACAATGACCTCCCCCTTAGTAAAGGTCAGCTCATCGGGATGGTCTGCTGTACAGTCCAGGATTGCTTTAACTCTCTTCTGCTTCAGCTTTACCTGTGGAAGTGAACCGAGTGAAACAGCACTCCTAAACAACATGCACAGTACCCGACAATAGAAAATCCAAAGGGGGCTCTCTTGATATTACTAATCCTCAAGATATGGGCATCACTGACATTTATTGCCCCGTCCGCTAGCTGCCTTATGGTGGTAGATTCATGTGGAAGGAGGCCATTCAGCCTATAGGGTCTGAGCCATCCCTCTGAAGAGCATCCCACCCATACCCAGCCCCATTCACCCTATCCCTGTTTACCAAGGCTAACCCACCTAGACACTGTGGGCAATTTAGCATGGCCAATCCACCTAATCTGCTTATCTTTGGATTGTGGGAGGAAACAGGAGCACCTGGAGGAAACCCACGCAGACACGGGGAGACACTGTACCGTTGGGCCAGTCTGCGCCTGAACCAATGCTGGGGCCATTGTTTTTGTGAACAGCACAAGTAGGGAAGTAGAGGAGATTTTAAACTAAATAGTGGGTCCAAGTCGTCAAGTGTGAATAAATGTGTGATATCAGACAATGGAAAAAAACTGAGTCAGGAAAACATTAGAAATATGGGAAAGGAAGATCAGTGAACTGCTGCAAGGGACAGAAGGCCTCAGGTTTATACTATTTCCTTCAAATGATTTAGATGAGGGGAGTAAAGACATGGGAGCTAAACTTTCAAATGGCACCAAGATAGAAACATATATTGCAAAGATTTAAGAAGGTCATTGAAGATATAAATAGGTCAAGTGAGTGACATATGATGTGGGATAATGTGAACTTGTTCACGTTGGCAGGAAGAATGAAGGCAGAAGAGATCGTTTGTCTTACCTAACAAGAATCTTAATATTATCAGCGAAATATGGGAATGTGGAATTCAAAACATGATAGGTGGATAAGACTTAAAAAAGGGCCAAAATGATCCACTTCTGCTCTCAGTTAGGACATTCATGTGTTGGGGAAAGAAGAAAGTGTCAGAACCCCGTACGCTGGGATTTCTTGTGGGATTCAGTTGCTGGAGAGCAGCAATATTGAAAGGTTCAGGGAAGAGGAAGTCTGGATTAGATTGGGTAACTTTGTTTGCTCTATAACTTGGACCTCTTTCCTGCCACTTTGAGAAATAGGTGACGAAATGTTGGATGGATCAACAAGCTGATTACCATGTCAGGAACATTCTTTCCATTACCAACAAGTCCAGGAGTAGGAGTGGAGCTGCTGCCTTTGAGGTGGGAGCTCCATACGCTGAACAAGAGCTCCTGACTAAGTACTACATATACGTGAAAACACCAGCACACACTGGAGCAACCAAATGCTGTTGGATATGGCAGAACTTTCCCTACTTGTACAATACAGAACAAGTTCACCATCAACTCACCCCAAACGACCTCCTCGGCAGCGGCACAGGGATTGGTTTGGAGCTTTCTGGAACTATATAAACATCTTCCCGACTCCTTGAACTCGAGTCTGTTGGTGAGAGATATTCCCCTTTTGTGGGGGGCGGGGGGAATGAGAAACAAGATTTATTTCCACAGAATCACTTAGCCCATTGAGCGTGTAGTAGCCTACTGAAAGACCGATGCCATTCGGCCATTGTGTCCCCTACTTTTTCTCAATAACTCTGAAAAGACATTGGCCCCCTGCTCTCTTCCTTCCCACTGTTGCCCAACCAGTATTCCTCGAGCAGTATTAACCAGGTCTGAGTGCTTAGTTGAGCGATCAGGTGAAATTTAAACCACTCACAAGATGCATTAAGAGCAAGGTAGCCTATTTGACTGGGGTTGACGCAGTTGTTCTATAACGGGTGCAGAGATTATCTTACTTTTGTTTTAAAACAAAATGAACAAAAAATTAAAAGCTAATGCATTAAGCATCTCCTGCTAACTTACAAACTCCATCTTGCACTCGTGCTGACTTATCTCATCTGGTTTTAATCTGGTTGCCTACTTGATGAGCTCTCTAATGGCTAAGAGAAGGTCCACAAATATTAGTGGAGCAAATATGAACCTAAATTGCAATTTGTCTTACATTGTCTCTGTTGGAAAGTTGCTAACAACAGTCAGAGAAGAACAAAATGGACATGTGCCCATTTAACCCATAAATGGACTAGTGAGAATCTGCTTGAATGAAGGCAAATACCTGGTTTTCTTCCCCCAATATCATGCAACAATTAAAACTGCAATGACACAAGATACCAACATGAATGCAATGGAGTTTGGGAACATCATCTTAACCTCTTCCTCATTCCTGTGTGATATTCCTTGAGGCAGTGGGAGTGATGGGTTTGACAGGAATTTCAAGAACAGATACACAGCTGGAAGGTTTCAGTTTGACCTACCTCTTGGCTTCTTTACTCCCTCTTCTCTGCTGGGTTTCCTAGTGAATGTTATACGGTTAGGGCTGCAAAGAAATGATTTTTTTTAAATTTAAAAAGAAATGGTGATTTTGTCATAGATCTCAGCATAGACTGTACTGAACAAAATCACCTATCACCCCTGTGCTCACTAACCTGCACTGGTTCCCAGTTTAGAAAGGTTTTAAAATGTTTGCCCCTGTGTTCAAATTCCTGCACGATCTTTCTCTTCTCCAACCCAATAGCCTCCTCCGCTATTCCTTGGAGACCTTCAGAACTCTCAGCTCCAAGTCTGACCTCTTGTACATCCCCGATTTTAAACTATTCCACCATTGGTGGCCTTGTCTTCCATGGGTGGAAGCCTGAACTGGGCCATTCCTTCCCTAAACCTCTCTAACACCTCTTTTCCCAATAACAGAGGTCGTTGACCAAGATTTTAGCAACCTGTCCTAGTGTCTCCTTGTTGTGGCTCAGTGTCAAAGCTGGAGTCTGTCTCTCTCTTGTTCTTCACAGTACAGTTCAAAGGCAGTAGCTAAAAGGCAACGTATGCGCATTTTGGGCGCAGAGATTTGGCAAGAGACTTGCATTCCGGGCGATAGGACATTCTGTTCTGAAATTTTAACCTAGTCGGTTTCCTGCTGGTCTGGGCAGAACCTCCTGTCCAAACGCAAGCCCGATGCTTTGATCCTTTACATTTCCCATGCTGGAGAGGATCAGAATAGCAAAATCACAAAGATCATTGAACAGCGTCCAGAGCACAAAGAGGACAACGAATTCCCCTCCCTATCCCTATAAAACCATGGCATCAAGGAACCAAAGCCACCATTTCCTGAAACCTTTCTCCCATTCATCCCCACCACAACAAAACAAGGCCACCAAGGGGAGGAATACAACTTACAGTGAGCACATTGACGCCGACGTATTCCATTAGTTTTCACCCTTCCTTCCCCCTTCAAAATCGGCAACTATTCTTGGAATAACGCACGCTGATCAACTGTCACCAGTCAATCCTCACACCCATAGAGGGACCACTTGACCTTGTCTAAGTATCTCCCACTGAATTCCCCACTTAGCTCTGTAACATGGAAAGGCAATTGGTAACTGTGTCCCAACAAGATGCAAATAGCTCCTTCGATTCTGTTCTGCTCCAGAATAGCTGGCACACTAGAAATGCCGACTTTGTAATTGGCAATTAGTGGTGGTGGAAAAATGGTTAGTGACATTGCACCTGATGGGAGCATTTTGAGTGCTATCCTTAAAACAGCAGTTCTACAGCCTACTGGAAAAGAACAGAGCTCAGTTTTGAACCCAACATAAAACCCACAAGCTACACTCGTCACCTTCATATGAGCCTAGTATACGGTTAAGATTCTGTTGTTGTCAGACCAGCTCCATTCTGAAGAAGAGCCAGACTTGAAACATTAGCCTTGTTTCTCTCGCTGCAGATGCTGCCAAACCTCCTGAGTTTCTCCAGCAGTTTTTGGATTTATTTCAGATCTCCAACATCGGCAGCATTTTTATTTTTATTTCAGCTGAGATGAAGTTTGCTCAGTAAGGGATGCTTGCTGTCAAGTGGGCATGGAGCTCCTACCTCACTGGCAGTGGCGGCTCTGACACTGGCACCGGGTGGTTGGGGGGGTGGTGTTGCTCTGCGTTCTGAAGGGGCGCTTCACTCTTTGACCCCTGCCTCTTGAAATCCGGCACCTCAGCTGGTGTCTGATTTCCCCAGTGATGGGCCATTCTGGTCTGAGAGTTTGACTTGGTCTGAGAGCTGGAGATCTCTGTTGATCCACCGATCGAGTGTCTCCAAAAGACAGCCGGGCATCCTGGATGAAATGAATAAAAATATGGTGACATTTTCAGCCTGCTCAGGTTCAAATTCCAGCCTCCAAGCTCACCCCCAATCAGGGTAGAAGATTCAGTCCAATGTTTCATATTGACAGGAAAATAATTGACCGGAAAAAATAGTGCTCCTTCTCTCTCCACACATGCTACATGCCCTGCCGTAGTATTTCTAGCAATTCCTGATTTTAGATTAGCTTTTGCATTAAAATTATTGTTTCCCTTCATCTGGGGAACATCCTTCCCAAGTCTGTCCTGACAAAACCCGCAGCGACCAGATTCAGCACCAGGCCTGAGTCTAGTAGGCCGAGCCTAACTTCCAACTGAGCACCAGGCCTACTAGCGGGCACAGCCTAACCCCAGAGAAAACCCAAAATTCCCAACCTTAAAAATAGGTTTTCTTTCCTGTCAGTTCGACGCCTGAAAAGTTGCAAACATTTCACAGGCAGGGTTAGTCTGTATGTCACTACTAAACTCGAGTGAAAGGAGCAGATTACCTGGAGTTTTGGAAGGTGAGATCCCATGACTCGGTGATGGGGCAAGTACAGGACCATTCCCAAGGGAGCATCGTTTGTTCTGTCCATCTATGGACACAGCTACAGGAAGAAATTCCACGTAATTCTATTCATCCTTTACATCAAAGTGTTGTACAGACTAAACATAAAGTGGTGTTTTCATAACGCAAATATTAAATCTTTAAATCAAATCTTTAAGCATAACACTAGTCATTAATAAGTCCACTACTTAATTCAGGAGAAACTTTTTGGACTGCTAATATGGAACTCAATACCACAGCAAATAGACAAGGTGAACGACATGGATGTATTTATGGAGAAGTTTGATAAATACATGAGGGAGAAAGAAATAGGTAGTGAGTCCCGATGAGAGATGTAAACCCGAAACGTCAGCTTTCCTGCTCCTCTGATGCTGCTTGACCTGCTGTGTTCCTCCAGCTCCACACTGTGTTATTTCAGACTCCAGCATCTGCAGTTCTTGCTATCTTGGAATCTTGAACATTCTTTACCCCAGAGTTTATTTTGATTTTTAGACATTAAAAGGGAATCAAAGGACATGAAAGTTTGGAAAGTGGAACTGATATCTGAAATCAGCCACTATCATATCAAACAGCAGAGCAGACTCAAGGGGCCGAATGGCCTACTCTTGCTTCTATTTTGTAAGTTTCCATGTTAGTGGGGTTAGATCCATAGGGATGGGAGGAGGTTGATGTGGAACAGAAACCCTGTCATGGACCTGTTGGGCTGAGTGGCCTGTGTCAGTGCTTTGAGCATTATGCATTGCCCGCAAGACTGGACTGGCCAAACCCATGTTATATTGACCCCTTTACAGGCAAGAGGCAGAGAGGAGTTCAATTCTGCGGACACTGAAAAGCCAGTGTGCTATCCAATTCCCCTCCCACTTACTGCAAACCCATATTCCTGACCATTGCTGTGGAGCACTCACCCCTGGTGAAGGTTTTAACTGGCAGTGGTGGCGGCGTGCTGTTGCTGGTTGGTGAATGAGCAGACGACTTGGAGGGAAGAACCACTGCCCCATACGTCTCATTTACAATATTGGAGCCTGTGAAACTCCACCTTTCCTTCTTGGAGCCAGAAGGGCTGTGGTTCCCAAATGGCGGAGACACGATGGAAGCAATGGGAGGAGAGAGTTGACTGATGGACTTGAATGACCTTTGCAAAGGACTGACCTGGACAGGAGGATGAAGAGAACAATACAGAAGCTGAAGTGACCGAGGTGTTCATGGTGGTTAACAGTAAACAGCCCTGGTTCGAGAACTTGGGGACAGACAGACTGACTTGTGAATACTGCATAAATAATCTCAAAACCGCTTTGCATGGAATGACATTTCTCTGCAAGTTGGAGTGACCGTCAATTTGCAGCCGATCAGTAAGATCCCACAAACAGAAACCAAATGAATGAAGAGACAACAAGGTGCAGGGCTGGATGAACACAGC